AAAAGGCAGATATAAAGCAACATTATTGTGAATCACCCGGAATTCATATAGAACCATTAATAATTATAGAGCTAGTATTGAAAGCACAATAGTGGTTTGAGGTCAGCTCATTGTGTAACCACAGAATATAAATTTTAAAGGTCTCTAATGTGACTCACCAAGATGAAAAACAGAAACTTTCTGTTTAGCACTAGTTAATGTTTGACAATGTATTTTGATTCACCTGTGTTTCGCTTTTGTCTCTGGAATCAGAACTCTTAGAAAATGGTTAAACTGCAAAACAATGGCTTATTGATGTAATCATGTAACTTAGTAATTTATAATCTGAGCTCTGCAGCTGCAAAATTACACTCAGACTTTCACCAACTCCTGTGTGTTTGTCTGTTTGTCATTCACCGAATCCTTGTCCACCCTTTGGGGACCCTGCTCTCATCAGACTGAACTGCTCCAGTCTGGGCTGGTCCGTTGCAGAAGGGGGGTTGGGGGGGCAGGATACTCTCCTCTTTCTGATTGTGTTCCCAGGGCACCAGGTACAAATTAACAGTTTAAAGCTTTCAAGGTGAACAGGTCCTGAGTGGTCTCTGCCACAGAGAAGCCCCCATATAGGCAGGGATGGGATCCTGGACAGGAAACATAAGAGGACTCTGAGGAAGAGCTCGCCTGTAGTTACGGCCTGTGTGCATGCACATGTGTGGACAGAGGGAGGGGTGGGGGGAGACCCAGCATATGGGAATCTAGGTTGCCATTTGGTCCAAGATAGCAGAATGGTCCCAGAATGATAATACCAACTGTTTCCCAACTGTCCCGTGGGAATCTTTGGGCATGATACTCCCCTCCCCCAAGCAAGCCAAGTTCACTAGGGACACAGGCCAAAGGGCAGCTCAAAATAGTCTGATTAGCAAACCCAGCTGACTGGAAGATGGACAGTCAAAGAGGACTTGGAATGGCCTAGGAACTCAGCATCACCACAGGGCAATCAGAAATTTTGGTTCCCTAAGGCCACAGTAGGTCTGGGGCACCAAGCAACCCAAGGATTCAGGCATCTGGGGAGGGCTTCCAAGGTCAGGGGTGGGGTGCAGGTGCCAAGCACCACCTCAGTCTACTCTCAGCCCCAGGCGAAAAGCTCTAAGGTGTCAGGAGACGGTCAAAGCCTCTTACAAGCACACATACAGCACATTTTAAAAGAGAAAAAGACAGGAAAAAGAGCCCCCTAAAATGCAGATACAATTCCTTAGGGCATTTTCCAAAAAAATGCCAGGCAGTTTTCTGGTGAGCTGCCCAATTTATGACCAAAAAAGGGCCAGTACTTATTTTTAGAGCTAAAAACTCTAGTTGGTGTGCTTCTGGAAGGGTTTAGATGATGTGGCCCCTCTTCTCCTGCCTTAGCCCCAATAGCTGCTGTCATTCTAGGGAGCTCAAGATGAGGAAGATGGTCATGCTAGTAATGGCCCTAGAGATGCACTGTGGGCAGCCTTAGTGATTGTGATGTCCTTCTCAAACACTCCCCAGATCCTGTCCCTATTGAGCAGGGCTGATGGGCCTGTATGCCCCTTACTAGCAGCCTTGAAACTACATTTCCTACATAACTTGAGGAGAAAAGACCAAAGAACTTGGGAAATGTCCACCAGGCCACTTGAGCTTTTAGCAATACATGAAACAATGAGGACTGAAGGAGAACTTCGGGAGGCTGTGGGTCAGCTAACACTGGTCACAGCCTCTATGTGGCAGAGTCAACAAGGATGGCTTCACGCAGCCTTCGAGGGCTCATCTGGCCTCTTCTAAAGCCCCCATGTGGGAGGTCAGAGTGTTCATCCTTAGGGTGAATCAGATCTAAAGTCACTGCAAGGTCCAGGAGGAAAGCAATTAGGTATGGGGCAGGTCGCTGGACCCCCGGCGTGGTGTGTGCGGGCACCCTGGGGTCTCCGCCACACCTGGCTAGTCCCGGTGTGAGTCTGGCCGCAAGCGATGTGGGGAGCGTGCCTGGGCTCCTGGGCGCACTCACTCTGGATATGGCCCAGGGTCATGTGTGCGTGCACTCTCCCGCCATGGTTCTGGTCCCGCTGGCTAGCCGCTGGCGGGCCTGGCAGGCTGCGCCTCTCTGGAGACGGCAGGTGCGCAGACTTCTCTGATGCTGGCTGTAGCTGATAGCTACACACTTCTCTGGAGCGGAGAGCTTCCTCTGCTACTAGAGTATTATCTAGTCGGAATCCCGCCTCTATTACACCCTTGTACCCTTCCTCAGGATTGCGGAGTTCCTGGCCAGTGAACTCCACAGGGAAGAGGCAAGGAGGCAGTGAAAGCTGGGGTATCCATGGGCCGATAACGGAGGAATAGCGCCCC